TTATCACACAAATTTTTTTTTTTAACAATATACAAAATGTTTATGTACAAGTTTAAATTACATATATCATTTACTCGATCTCCCTCGAATCACGTTCAATCGTCACACACAGAGATCGACGGAATATGTTGGTTTCTTTATTCTTTTGTTTATTAAAAATAATAGCAAAAATTATTAATTGAAAATTTGCATGAATTTTTATTTTTGAAAATATTTTTTGTCCGTAGATCTCTGTATTTTCTTTTTTTCCTTTGTTTACAATATTTCCAATGATTCTCCGTCTGTTTTTGTTTATTTTTTTACATATTCTTAAATAAAGTCCGTGAGAGAGTGGAGGGGAGAACAAAAAAAGTCGGAAAATTGTTTTCTTTTTGGAATTATTGGGCAAAAAATTTGCTTTCTTGGCTAAAATCCATTTTTTTTCGATTCAATTTTTAAGAGAATGGCACTGTCAGTTTTTTTTCTGGATTTTTGCTTTTGGCTTTGTTTCCTGACTTTTTTTGTTCTTGTCAAATGAGGCGTTGAGGTGAAAATTTGTTTTTAAAAAAATGGTTCTTCAGAAGTAAATTCTGTTAGAAAATTAGAATTCTTTTTAAATTTGTTTAAATATTTTTTATTTTTTCTAAAAGAATTATTTTGTTAAAATAATAATTAATTATTAATTTTATTTATTTTAATTTTAATTATTTATTTTAAATTATTTAAACTTCTTCGTCTTTTAAAATGACTTTTTATTGACTGCGTCACGTTGCGCGGGCCGTTTGAGAGGAGTGGGGGGGTCGCGCGCTATTGGCTACCCCCACTCCTCGTGCGCTGGCCGCGCAGCGTTTTTTTTTTTAATTTTCTCTATTTTTGAAAAATCTAATTATTAACAATTATTTTTTTTTTTGCTTAATAATTGAAAAATATTTTTCTAGTTTTTACGCTTTATGTTTGGAAATAATATTTAGATTTTACGATAAAAAAAAAAATTGATTTGAAATGCGATACAAATTTTTAGGTCAACGCCACAGAAATTACACGTAGAATACTTGGAATGGAAATTCACTATAGAACGGAACATCGGTATAATACAGTTTACATTCAATTTTTTTTAATTGAGCTTCGAAGTACTCATGGCACTTACCGTGAGATAATTAAAAAAAAACTTCGTTAAATAAACTTTATTATTTAAAATTTACTAATTACAATTTTGTTATCAAAACTTTACTAATTAAAATTTTATGAAAAAAACTTTACTTATTAACATTTGTTAATAAAACTTTACTAATTAACATTTTATTAACAAAATTTTACTAATTAAAATTTTCTTACTGAAATTTTACTAATTAAAATTTAATTAATAAAACTTTATTAATAAAAATTTTACTAATTAAAGTTTACTACTGAAAATTTTTAAATTAATATTTACTGCTTGAAATTTCATTAAATAATTCTTTTTTGAATTAAAAATAATTTTTATGCAAATAAAGGGAAAAATTCTTGTGGTGAATTAAAAATTGAAATTAAAATAGTGAAAAAAATACGGTAATTGCCTCGAGTTTGTTAGATATATCGTGACGTTTTTTTTAAGATTATACATTTATATTACATTTATTGTAGATGCTTTTTTTTGAAACCCTGTTTATAGAATCTGTCCCTCTTTGTCGTCGCTTTTTCTTTACGAGAATTTTTTTTTATATACTTTCCGGAAAATTTCGAATTGAGAAAAGAGAATAATTTTCAATGCTGGAGAAAGAAATTTGAAAAAAAAGAATTTTTTTGGAAAAGAAAATTTTGGAAAAACAAATTAGAAAACCACATGTGGAAGAATTCTTGAAGTTACTTCCGGAAAACTTCTGGAAATTTTCTGGAAATTACTCCTAGAATTGTTTCCGAAATGATATTTGGAAAATTTTTCCAGAAACAATTCGGAAGTTTTGAGGAAAAACTTCTGAAAAATACTCCTGGGAGTTTTCCGGAAGTGAGTTGTGAAAATTTTCCAGAAACTATCTAGACACAAAGATTTTAGGAAAATTTTCGGAAGTTTTTCGGAATTATTCTGGAAAATTTCTATAGAAAAACACTTTTGGAAGTTTTGCCAAAGTAATTTCTTTGAATTTTCCCGATTAAATCCGAAAGCTTTGGGGAAAATTTAGGAAAACTAGTTTTAAAAATTTTATCTATATTATGTACTTTACGAAAATTTTCCTAAAAAAATTTTACATAAAATTTCCGGAAAACTTCAATTTTGTAATATCTGAAAATTTTCCTGAAAAAATCTGCAAATTTTCCGCAAGTTTTATAGGAAAATATGTAATTTCCCGGATGGAAATCAAGATTTCCGGAAAATTTACCGAGTTTTTCAGGAATAACTTTGAAAATTTTCGTGAAAACAATATTTTGAAAATTTTTCCTCTTTGACTTTCTTCCAATTTTCCGGAATAAATATGAAAGTTTTCCTAAAATTCTTTTGGAAAATATTCGGAAACCAAGATTTTCGGCAAATTTACATAATTATTCTGCAAGTTTTGTTTTTAATTTTCGGAAACAACTTTTCCAAAAAGGATTCCAGAGAAGTGACTTCGGAAAATTTTCTTGAAAAATAGAGAATTTTTCCCGACCATTTGATGGAAAATATCGAAAAATTAAAATTTTCTGCAATTCTATGGAATTTTTTCGAAATTATTTCAAAGTTTCGTATAGAAAATTTACGTAAAATTTCCCTGGAGTAACTTTTGGAAAAAATTCACAATTTTTCCGGAAAATTAATTAAGAAAATAAAATTTTCAGAAAATCTTTTGAATTTTTTCTTTGGGAATTGTTACGAAGTTACGTAGAAAATTCACGGAAAAATCTTTTGGAAAACTTTTCCAAAAATTTTCTTTTAAAAAAAGAATTTCCTTAAAAAAACCAAAAGAATTTCCTTTCTTAAAAATATCCGAAAAATCGTATTTTTGGAAAATTTACACATTTTTTTCCGAGTTATTAAAACAGTTTACTGGAAAATTTACCGAAATCACGTCTGAAATTTTTCTAAAATTCCAGAAGCAAAGAATTCAGCATAATTTTCTTGAAAATATTCCAGAATTTTTCCAGGAATTTTCATAATTTTCATTGGAAATTTCCAAATAATAAAAATTCCTGGGAAAATTTACCAAGTATTACAGGAATTATTCCAGGGAATTATCGAAAACCGTGAAATTTACCAAAATCCTTTTACATGTGGTTAAAATTTTGTGAAAAAAAATTACAAAAAAAACCAATTTTAAAAATAAAAGTTTTTAATTTTACGGAACAATGAAAGAGAAATTGGATTTAAAATGAAATTATTTTTTTTTTGTTAATGTTACGAAATTAAGAAATGACAATTTCTTCGTTTGGGAACTTGCGAGTGGAATGGGAATCAATATAGAAAGAGAGAAAGAGAGTGAGAGGGGGGAGAGAGAAAAGGGGGGGGGACGTTAATGGTAGCATGATGCGGAAACAAGGGACGCTTAACGAACTTAGTCCCGGTCCGCTCGACGAGTGCAAAAGGCCCGATAATTTTGAAAGAAAAATAATTTTCTAAGACTCGATTTTGGATTACCGTCGTTTTGTTTTCTCTCTCTCTCTCTTTCTCTCCCTTTCCTCCTCTTCTTTTTTTTAAAAAACAAGTTCCCTTTTTAGAATTTCATTTTAAATCACGTTCTTTATTCCTTTTTTTTAATTTTCGATCTTACTTTTCTTTTCCTTCTCTCTTTCTTCTTTCCTTCCGTTTCTTCACTTTTTTCTTTTTTACCTTTCCTTTTTCTTTTTAATTTTCTTTTTTCCTTTTCTTTTTTCACTCGATTTTATTTTCTTTTTCCTCTTTATTCTTAATTTCCTTCCCCTGCTTTCGTTTTTAATTTTCTTTCTCTCTTTCCATTTTGAATTCCCTTTCTCTCTTTCCCTTTCTTCCTTCACTTTTTCCCCCCACAAAAATTCACCAAAAAAAAAAAAATTTTTTTTAACCTTAAAAATTTACAAGATGAGCTTTATTCTTTTCTTTTGAGCAAACATTTTTCGTTTCGATTCGCCGCGTGAAGAAATGCTACTAATGTCGGAAAGATTTTTTTTCTTATAAGAAATCCCAAAAAAAAAAAATTACAATCATCATAACGAGAGTGTCTAATTTCCCCGTGGACGTACAATATCGAATGTCACACAGGGAGTGTCATCATATTATCTCAAAAAGGGGTCGATAATAATTCGCAGGAGCATCTTTTTTTTTTTCAATGGCAAGAAATGTCGTGTGTAAGCAATTCGATTTCTCGGAGAATTTTCTCTTAACTATATCTCTCTTTTTTTCAAAAATTTGAGTCTTTTTTGTAAATTAAAAAAAAACACTAATTTTCATCCCCTTGAAAATCATTTTTTTGGGCACAAGTTTCTTCCTTCACAATGTTTTTTTTTTTTATTTTCACTCTTGATTTGCCTACAGGTACATTTTTTTTTTTTTGTAATTTTGCGCGAACCAGCACGAAACTTTTCTTTTGTCACCAATTCTTTTTTTTTTACATTCTCAATAATGATGAGAAAGGTTCGTAAAAGTGTTTGAAAAAGAAAAAAATTTGTTTCAAAATCACAGACGTTGAATTGTTTTTTCGTTTTTTGGAAAAAAGGGGGGTTAGGGGGAGTGGGGGGGAGGGGTTTTAATCGCAAGAATCGGGCGGCCATGACCAATCCTGATAGGCTGAGGGATGTTGATGTGAGTGACCAGGGATACCGGAAGTAATGAGGCCCATTTGATGATGGGGATGATGAGGATGATGTTGTTGATGATGTTGATGATGATGATGATGTTGCTGCTGCTGCTGCTGCTGTTGTTGTTGTTGTTGATGATGGGGATGAAAGTGTTGATGACCCGGCGGTGGCGGCGAATAGGGATCCGCTCCAACACCAACGTCCACGAGATCAATTTGCGGTTGCATGGCTGTGACAACGGGCGTCGGCTGTGGAGTCGGTTGTACCTTTTTCGGGCGACCGACCGGGTTGCCCCCTCATTCGCGACTCCTTCGAGGCCTTCCCACTTTGCCTTTTCGCACTGGAACACCCCCATTGCCGGCAGCCGCCGCTGTCACTGGCATTGACGATGATTTCGCTATTTTTTGATAGTCCGGCTCGCACACTAGTGTTCCCGAAATGAAATAATACCTGCAATAAAAAAAATCACACTCTTTAGAAACAATTTTTTTTTTAAATAAAAATAATACAGTTTTTATGGTCTAATCATCTTTTCCTCCTAGTGGAGGAAGTTATGGTTTAGAAAATAGACAGTTTTTTTTCGAATCTAATATGAAATTTGCTTTCTGTTACAGGTATGAAAAGGAGCATCCTCACCAGCAATGGGAGTTAAGTTAATAAAAATTACGATCGAATTAAAAAACAGACATGAAAAGTGAAAAGAAAAAGAAGAAGTTATAACGAAAAGTGAAAGTAACAGGATTTTCATAAGTCAAGGAAGTTAGGGATTTTTTAAAATAGAAATCTAATTTGAAATTTGCTTTTTGTTTTCAGGTATAAAGAGGAGCAGCATCCTCCCCAACAGTACGAGTTAAGTTAATAAAAATTACGATCGAATTTACAAAAAAAAGAACAAGAAAAGTGAAAATAAGAAAAAGTGGTTATGACAAAAAGAAAATAAGTAAAAGTAGCAAGGTTGGCATAAGTCAGGGAAATTAGGGAAGAAACTAGTTTTCCCGAAGTGAAACAATACCTGAAAATTTAAAATCATACTCTTTTTGAACAATTTTTAAAAAAATGAAGTAATACAGTTTTTATCGAATCTAATTTGAAATTTGCTTTTTGTTTTCAGGTATGAAGAGAAGCATCCTCGCTGACAGTGCGAGTTAAAGTTAATAAAAATTACGATCGAATTACAAAAAAAAAGACACGAAAAGTGAAAATAAGAAAGAGATGTTTTATAACGAAAAGTAAAAGTAGCAATAAATTAAAAGTAGTTTGGCATAAGTCAGGGAAATTATAGGGAAATGTCGCAGGGGATTTTATCAAAAGTATACTAAAAAAAAATACAAAAATTTTAAAAATTACTATACAATAGTTTTTGTTTTTATTACTCGAAAAATATTTTTTGTAAACTTAAGAAATTTGAATTCCTTTTTATTTCATTTCCACTGGGAAAACTTTTCATAATCGCAATGAATTTTTCAAGACTATACATTTAATTCCTTCTAAGTTCTGTATAAATAAATTTTAAATACTTAAATTCCAGAACAACTTTCTAAAAATTTTTATAATGTAATTAACTTAGAAATGAAATTGAAAACTTTTGCAATTTTCAAAAAGATAATTAAACCCTACAAGGATTAAAATTAAAATTTTTAAAAGTTTGTTTTTTCGTAATTATTTTGAAATTGCTGTGCAAAAATTAGTAATTTAATATTTATTAAAACAATTATTTATAAGTTTTGAAAACGCATTTATTTTAAATTCGAAAAAGAATTATAAATAGATTTTGAGAAATTTGGAATTTAAGTTTTTAGAGATATATAATATTGAAACTTTGTGAAATCGTATGGAAAGTAATTAAATTTGTTGAAGAATTTCACTAGAGATTTTTGAAAAAAAGATGACATTCCGAAAAGATAATTAAACCCCGATTGAAATCCAGAAGGTTTTAAATTAAAAATTTTTTAAATATCAATTGCTGTTAAAAAATGAATAATAAAATATTTATTTAAAAAATTATTTAAGTTTGAAAATTTCAAATACGCATTTATTTTTAAATTCTTTAAAAATTAGGGTTTTTTTTATAAATTTTAATTCAATTTTTGTAAAGTAATAGAATTGAAAATTGGTCAAATCGAATGGAAAAAAATTCAATTTACTAAATATTTACTAAAGATCACTAGATAAATAAAATAAATATAGAGTTAAATTAAAATCAGGGTTCAAGTGGGGTTCAAGTAACAGCTGGTAGGATTAAAGGAAAAGTAGGGTTTAAGTAAAAGTAGGGTTAAATAATCAGTAGAAGTAAAGTAACAGTAGGCTTAAAGTACAAGTAGGTTTATAGTAAAAGTAGGATCAAAGTAAAAGTAGGTTTAATGTTGTAGTAGGGTTAAAGTGTCAGTAAGGTTAAAGTAACAGAAGGGTTAAAGTAATAGTAGAAAAAAGTAGAAGTAGGGTTAAATTAAATGTGGAAAAAGTAATAGTAGGGTTAGGGTAAAAGAAGGGTTAAAGTAAAAAATAGGATTCAAGTAACAGTAGGATTAAAGTAACACTAGAGTAATAGTAACAATTTAGGTTAAAAGTAACAGTAGGGTAAAAGTAAAGATGGGGTTAAAGTAACAGTAAAAAAATGTAATAACAGGGTTAAAGTAAATGTAGAAAAAGTGATAGTAGGGTTAAAAGGAAAAGTAGGATTAAGATAAAAATAAAATTAGAGCTAAGCTAACAGTAGATTTAAAGCAAAAGTAGAGTTTAAAACCAAAAGCAGTTTTTTTTTTAAAGAATTATTCAGTAGTAATTATTTTTATACGACATTAATGCTTACCTATCTCCAACCTGAAGTGGGGTACAACATTTGCTACATTGAAAACATTTTAAATGAAATGAAGCCCCTATTGTTTTGTGAACGTAATCCGTTGATGGTATTACTTGACCACAACCTGCACAAGGTACCGTAGGACCAAATAACCTGCAACATAAAAAGAGACAAAAATAGACATTAATATTTTTATTCCTTCCGAATTGACTTAAAAAATAAACATTTTTGAAAAAATATTTTTTCTTCTATTGTATTTTGAAATTATTATTTAATAATTCACTTCTTACAAAAATTGAACCAACATTTTAAAATTTTTTAAACATTAAAAATGAATAATTGAATCAACATTTAAAAATTATTTAAACATTAAAAATTGAACCAACATTTTAAAATTTAAAAATTTAAAAAAATATAAATAAATAAAGTAATAATAAAATAATCTAAAATCAACCGAAAAATTTTTCTTCAAATTGATAATATAAATTAAATTTATTCTGTTATTAAATTAATTTCGAAAATTTTAATTTTCTAAAATGCCATTAAGAAGAACGATTTCTTGATGTATCCTGATACCATCATTTCATTATAATAAAGGCAAGCAATCGAAGAATTGGCAAACATAAGATGACATTCTCTGCCTCTCCTCATTCGGTTGGCTTTAAGTGGCGATAAATATGACGCGTTTCCAATTAAATTTCACGTCAGGCAAACACACTTTCTAAGTAAATGAGCTCTGCTTTATAAGCACTCATTGGAATGATGGCTTTTGAGAAATCTTTATCCTTTTCAATTCCTGTTTTGTTCCTCTTTTTTTTGGTTTTCTTAATCAAATATCTTTTCCTCTTTTTTTTGAGTGTCTAAACGAGCACACAACCATATTATATAATTAAAATGTGTTGTAAATGTGCCATTTCATTTTGATAATTCCCATCTGCGGATTTTATCTTTCAAAAAAAGTAAAAAAAAAAGAAAAGAAATTTAAAAAAAAATTGTCTTATTTAAAAAAAAGTTGATACAACTACACTCGTTAAATTATTAATTGCAAATTTAAGTCTAATTAGTATTTTAATTAGTATTAATTAATATTAATTAAAATACTTAATTAAATATTTCAATTAGTACCCATTAATTATTTTCTTAATTAATTCTTAAATTATTTTTTAAATTATTTTTTTAATTTAATTACTTTTTAATTTCTGTTTTTTAATTTTAATTTTTAATATATATATATATATATTTCTTTTTTTTAATTATTACAGTATTAATTAATTAATATTAATTAAAATACTAATTATCCTTAAATTTGATATTTATTAATATTAATTATTAACATTAATTAATTTTGCGAAAACAGAGAAAAATAATTTCACTTGAATTATTGATATATGTTTTGTTAATAAATTTAGTAATTTGATATATAACGCTAGTAAATTAATTAATGAGTTTTTAATTAAAAATATAATAGTCAATAATTAATGAAGTTTAATTAAAAATATTGATAATTTAATTCCTAGAATATTGCATATTAATTTAGTTAACATCGATATAATAGAAAATTAATAAAACTAAATTACATTTTATACTAATTTAATGAATTAATTTATTTATTAAATTTATTAATAACTGAAACAAAATTAATAGAAAAATTATTAGATTAAAGTAAAATTAAATCAATTCGATTGATTAAAATTAAAAAATTTCATTTACGGAAAATTAATTCGATTTAGATAATAAAATTCAAATTTTATTTTATAGAAAATTAATTCGATTAACTAGAATCGAATTTCATTTTATGGAAAATTAATTCGATTAAATAGAATCGAATTTTATTTTATGGAAAATTGATTCAATCAAATAAAATAAAAATTTCATTTTATAGAAAATTAATTCGATTAAATAGAATCAAATTTTATTTTATTGAAAGTTAATTCTATTAAATGGAATCAAATTTCATTTAATAGAAAATTAATATGGAAAAAAATAATAATTCAATTAAATGAAATCAAATTACATTTGAATCTTCTTTTATAGAGTTAATTAATGATTTTTCGAAGACACTCACACAAACACACAGAATGAGAGAAAAGAAGCAAAAAAAAAAAAAACAGAGGAAAAGAATAAATAAAAAGTTACTGGGAATTTTATAGCAGACATAACAAATCTTATGGGACGAATAAATCCTTACACCATCAAAAGCTATAAATGCCGAGACGAATGAACAATTCACGTCTCGATTTAAATGTGAGTGATGATGATACATCAGTTTCGTATATATATTTCTCAAAAGTCAGCAATTATTTTTCGAAAAAAATAACATTCTTTAAAAAATTTTTTTTTATTTTTTAAATAAGTAATTTTTTAAAAGAAAAAATAAATTCAATTTTAAGAATAAATTGGATAAAATTATGTAAAGAAAACTTCAGTAGAAATAAAAGTTATTAAAATTAAAAGAAAGAGTGGGAGAAGTGGGGGGGGTAAAGACAAAATATTTTAGAAATTATTTTTAAAAAAATTTAATTTTTATAATTATTTTAAAAAAAATTTGAATTTAAGATTAAAATGAAGAAAATTATGGAGAGAATTTAAATACATATAGGAAAATTATTTAAAGTAAGAGGAAAAATGACAGAGGAAGAAGAAAGAAAAGGAGGGGGGGGGGAGTAAAAACAAAATTTTTAACGATTTTTTTTTTAAATTTGATATTAAGATTAGTATTTAGAGAGAGAAAATTTTAATGTATATAGGAAAGTTGTAAAAAGAAAAAGAAAAGTGAAGGAGGAACAAAAAAAGAAAGAAGGAGGAAGGGTAAAAACAAAATTTTTAAGAATTTGTTTTTTTAAATTTTTATTTTAAGATTAATATAATTATTATAATAATTAGAAGGGAGAAAATGTTAATCTAGAAAAGTTGCTAAAAGAGACAGAGAATGAGAAAAAAGAAAGGAGGAAGAGGGGGGGGGGGGTTAAAAACAAAATCCTTTAAGGATTTTCTTTTTCTTTTTAATTTGATTTTAAGGTTAATTATTGAAAGAGAGAAAATTATACGGAGAAAATTTTAATAAGTGTGAAAGTTATTAAACAGTGAAAGAGAGAGAGAGGGGGGGGGGTAAAAACAAAAACACATAGGAAAGGAATTGAAACGTCATTCGGCGAGCAATCATCGACCTGCCCAACGCTGTTCGCTCGGCCAGATCCCGGACAGATAAATTAGCAATTTAATTATAGAACTGTCAAGCGGTAATTAAATTAATAACGAGAAACCTCGAATCCAATCCGATCCGTCGTGGCAACCTTTCGAGTTCCACTCTCGCATGCAACACCCACATCGATTCCTCTATAAACTTGTGGTTCATGTACAGTTGAGTCTATAAGTTTCTATACAAATTTTTTTGTTTATTTTTATTTATTTATTTCCTTTCCATGTTTTTTGTCTCTTTCTTCGGGTTTTTAACATAAAAAAATCTTATTATTGAATTCTATTTTTGTTTTCTTTTAATTACATTGGAAAAAAGTCCTTTTTCGGGGTAAAGACTCGAAAAAACCTTGTTTACCATCACTTTTCTCAAAGACCTGACTTGCTGGGCAATTTTGGAACTTGGAATCGTGTTTAGAGGGGAAAAATATATTGGAAATGACTACCATGTCTAAAATAGGGGAAAAAATTATTTTTCGTGGTCTTTACCCCCACTTTTTCAAAATTTTTATGTGATAATCAATTTTGAGCCACGGGATCGTGTTCAGAAGGCAAAAATATGTTGAAAGCGACTCCCATATCAAAAATAGGTGAAAAAATTGTTTTTCGGGGTCTTTACCCCCACTTTTTTCAAAATTCTGACGTGCTAATCAATTTTAGGCCCCAATATCGTGTTCAGAAGACAAAAATACATTGAAAACGACTCCCATGTCAAAAATAGGTAAAAATTTGTTTTTCAGGGTCTTTACCCCCACATTTTGGAAATTTACCCCCACTTTTTTCAAAATTTTGATGCGTTAGGGAATTTTGCGAACCTGGATCGTTTTCAGAGAATAAAACTACGATGAAAACCACTACGATATCGAAAGTAAAAATAAAAAAGTTTTTTTTGGGTTTTTACCCCCACTTTTTTCAAAATTTTAACATTCTAGTGAATTTTCAGACCCTTCATCGTATTCAGAGGATAAAAATACAATGGAAACGAGGACTACGATATCAAAAATAGCAAAAAGAAAAAATTTTTAATCTTTACCCCCCACTTTTTTCAAAATATCGAAGTTCTAGGACCTGTGTTTATTGTTATAAAAATATTTTTCTATAATATTACAATATTCTAAAATTAAATTAATAGCTAAGGGCGAGGCTAAGGGGAACGCCACATTTAAAAAATAAATAAAATAATTTTAAAAATATTAAATAAATAATACAAAAAATGTTTCTGATTTTGAATTATCAAATTTATTTCTTTGAGAGAATAATAATTTTCTGGAGAAATAATTTTCAAATGAAGAATTTACTCTTGATATCAATTTTTGTTGTTCCGAGTTTACTTCATTAATCGAATATAAAGAGCGAGGGCAAGAGGGGGGATAAGTTAAAGTATTAATTAGTTATCTTCATTAAACTTGAAGCACCTACTCATAAATTACTATAGTGGAGAAACGTAAATGGGAAGTTCATGGAAAGTTCAATGCATAATTGCTTTTTCTAAGATCGTTAATTGGATTACATTTTTTTCGAAAAAAGGAAGGAAAGAAAGAAAGAGAGACATTAAACGCTCACGTAAACAATACTTTCTTATCTTTGGAGTTTTAATATTTGATTTTATAACTAAATAATAATAATAATTAACGAAAAGTAATGAAAATTCGTTTCTCTAAATTGAATTAACGAAAATTAACGAAAATTCTTTTTTCTAAATTGAATGAACGAAAATTAACAAAAATTAACGAAAATTCTTTTGTCTAAATTGAATTAACAAAAATTAACAAAAATTCTTTTTTGAAATTGAAATAAGAAAATTAACGAAAATTAACAAAAAGTAATGAAAATTTGTTTTTCTAAATTGAATTAACGAAAAGTAATGAAAATTCATTTTTCTAAATTGAATAAACAAAAATTAACGAAAATTATACAAAAATTAACGTAACTCGTTTTCTAAATTGAAATAACGAAAA